TGTGACCACTACATCTGAAACAGAGGCACCACTCATACTAGGGGCTGTTTCTAACCTGAGTTCATACCATAGCCCACACACATGGCTTTGAAAGACACCAACACACACAGTTTCTTCTTTAAAGACTTCTTCCCCCTGGGAATTTGGTGAAGGCCGTGTTACCTTAGAACAACAACTGACTACGCAGAAGACACAATACAACCTGATCATTCAAACCAGACTTCGTTGAGCAAAATCAATTCTGTGTGACGCTCTTCCTCATTTACCAAGTACACACTAAATGCTCTGAGCAGCCAACTGCCCTCTGGTCAACACGGCAGACTTCAAGCATTTGCTTTCACATTCAGCTTTAACCTGAACGGCTGTTTTGATGTCTGATGTTTTCCTGATGCTAGCTTCTATTCTTGCTCACTCTAATGCTCAGCATTGAAAATAACTAAGAATGCACTATATGGCCAAAAGTATGTGGACACCTAACCATCACAATCATGTACTTGTAGAACATTCCAGACTTTGTCTCCCTTTTGCTGCTATAACAGCTTCCACTCTTCTGGGAAGGCTTTACGCTATATTTTGGAACGTGGGAGTGGGGGTTTTCCCATTCAGGCTCAAGAGCATTAGCGAGGTTGGGTGAGGAGGCCTGGCATGTAGTCAGCATTCCAGTTCATCCTAAAGGTGTTCAGTGGGGTTGAGGTCAGGGCTCTGTTCAGGCCTCTCAAGTTCTTCCACTCCAACCTTGGAAAACCATGTCTTCATGGACCTCACTTTGTGCATTGTCATGCTGGAACATGTTTGGGCTCCTTAGTTCCAGTAAAGGAAAATCTTAACTCTACAGCATACAAGACATTTTAGACAACTGTATGGTTCCAACTTTGTGGCAACAGATTAGGGAAGGCCCATAAATGGGCATGAGAGCCAGGTGTCCACATACTTTTGACCATACAGTGTATTCTTGCCTTGTCTATTCAGTTGGCAGGTTAAATCCTGTCCCTTATCAATTATCAGTGAACCATGTGAGGTTGACATGTAATGAGTAAACTATACTGGGTCTAGATACACTTTACTATCAAACAGAAATCAGACATTTTGCTGCTTTACTTTAATTATGTGTCGAATATGAAGAATGCAGGAGAGTGATTGTGAGGTTTATTAAGGAGTTCAATCACACAATTACAGATTACAGTCACAGTCCATAGCTGTGGTCAGAGCACAGGCAGACAATCAGGAAATGACAAACAAGTGGAGCAGAGAAAGCGATCCTGCATTCCAGATGATTCAGGAAGTCATTATATAGACGCAGTATTTGTGTGTTATTTGCAATCACATTAGAAAGATGTTCATTCTGTAGTTGTTTATTTTACAATCACAATGCTGCACTGTTAGTCTGGCTTGTTGTGTCATCAGATCTCTGATTCACCTAACATTAGCTTAATTCCTTAAATTTAACCCCCTACCTTTTTACTTAATTTATTCATATTAAAAATATAAATCAGTAACTACAATGAAGTATTCATTAACTACAGTTATACTTATAGTAAAGGTATGTAGTTAGGACAGTGAGGAATAGTCTGGAGGAACTGCCAGGTACTGGATGTTTAGAGGGCAAAAAGCTGAGTAAAAACCATGAGTTCCACACAGAATGGAGAGACAAATAGTTTTATACACTTTATCTGATAGGGTTACCAGTAGCAGCTCATCCATCAGCTGTTCACAACACCACAAATTTTATATTCACTAATTACCTCTTTTGAGTGATGTCATCCTAATGTTGTCCTGTCCCACTAAAATCTACGCTCACAAGCCACTGCTGGGGGTTACTGTATAATGAGAGCATGACTACTAGATGTCCTTGTTTTCATGCCATGAAATTAAAAGGATAAATATACTTCTTTTACTCATGTAATATCAAGTCTATTATTTTATATTACAGGACTATGGTAGCCTTTTTTGATGAAACATTTTGGTCTGGCCTGCGTTTCTCAGTTTTGAATTTTTAACTACTGAGTAAATGTTCTGCTGAGATACAGACTCAGTGTACAGTGGCTTGCATAAGTATTTGATTCTTGTCACATCCATGGACAATTCCCCCCAGACCACCAGTGAGTTACCCTCACTCACATTTCGTACGTTCTTCTGTTTGTAGCACTTCCTGTGCTAGTGCACACCTGCTTCGTGTTCACCTGAATAATTACCTTATATAATTTCTGCATTTTCCCTCCTTAGCTGCTGAGCATTTCTGTTATGTTTATATCGTGAGTTGCTTGCATTTATGTTGCACTAGCCTACCCTTGCCTTGGTCTAGTATTTTGTTGTTGTTTTGCTAGTTTCTGGTTCTTTTCCTGCCTTTTGGTTGTTTTTAGTTGTTCAGTTAATAAAGACTGTATGCACTTTCTGCTGGCTCAGGTTCAGTTCTGGCGCAGAAGTCACATAATTAGTTGTAACAAGACAAGCAATTAAAACAAGTCTGGGAAAACAGCATGCAACGTCACACAGGTCATCAGGCCTTACATTCTCAGTTCCTAAGCACATTCTGACATCTTTCAATAGTTAAAAAGCATAAAAATGTCTCTGTTTTTCTATTATATCAAACTATGCTTATGACTGGAATACTTACGTTTGAATGCTGGGTACATTGGCACTGTGTTGGTGATCAACAGGGCATCATATCTTGCATCGTTACTGGAGGCCAACTCTGTCGATAATGACACAAGGACCAAACTGAGCAAACGAAAAGCATTTAATTGCATATGCATTTTTCTCAGTAACATAGTCATTAGGGCTTGTGCCTGGAAGTGGTTAACTGGCTCACAGCGGTGATGGCCAGCATTTTTTTTATAACATTTTATTGTGTGTTTGAACAATATTTTTTTGCCTCTGTTGGAAAAAATGGAATCAAGCAACCAAAATGTTGAATTTCCAACATTTCCAACAATGAGCTGGGATATAAACAAACTCTAGAAAACAAGAAAATGTAGTGTCATGTAATGACATGTGAATGAACCAGGGAGGGAGTGCCAACAGCGACATCCTCCCCTCCTTAAGTGAGTTTATTTCATATTGGCCATAGCGGTTGTTTAACTGCATTTTCAACAGAGATATGTTTCATTCCTTTCTAAATCAGGTAGCTTGTAAAGAGTGAAACTATTTTATTAACCAAGTAACAGAGATAACATTGTTTTAAGTTCACATATTCAACATGCTTTTTTTTTAAATAGATGAACATAAAATATGAAACTATGTTGTGTTTAATCATTGAGATTCGGTCTTTAACAAGTTTAACAAGCTAGTTGGTTGAAGCCGCTTTTCTTTTTCAAGTCAATTCATCAGAGGGGCTTTATAGATTAATTTGTAGCTCAACAGCAAACTACATTTTTTAAGTGGCTTCTTGAAGTTTAAATTAAAACTTTGACAAAGAATCTCTGTCAGATACAATGAGCTTTAAGTTTCTCAAAAAGGATTGAGTATTGTTTGTACTATTGTTCTTTTTTCTAAGAATTAGGTCTACTGTATAAGTATTTAACTTTTAGCTTATTTATATGTATTATTTATATCATATATGCTGTTTCCACAATACATAAAGGCTGCAATATCCATTTATTATAACACCAAAAGAAAAAGTACTGTTTGAAAAGACAAATAATCCACTGCCATGCAAAGATTGAACCATCTACTGTCGCTTAATTTCACATTATTTGAACACACAGGCTTTAGTAGTCAGCTTTGATGGAAGATGATGGCTTGATGAAATGTCTATATTTGTGTACATAAATGGACAGGTGCAGTTTGGCTATAGAAATGCAATGTATAACATACCGTATTATGTATCAGACTTGGAGCTAGTGTTTGGTGTTGTTTTTGGCAACTCGAGATGCCCACGCTATCTCTTTAGATTTTACAGCAACATGTTTGTAACACTTATTTGAAAATACCCAACATATCATATCTTCATATCAATTATTACTAATGTTGAGTCAAGTTATTCATTAAGTTTGTTCAGTGTGGGGTGACTCACGAGGTGGGTAGAGAAATGCATAGGAGATCTGTTTGTCTGCTCGGTAGCTGGTGCAGGACTGGCTGGAGGCTGGAGGCACTCTGGCATCAGGTCTCACGCATGTATTCAGAGCTTCAGGCAGAACAGTGACGTCAACCTGAAATATGCAAACCATAGGGCCGGCTGTAGAATCTGTTAGTTTGACAGTGAGGTTGATAGACATCACTGAAATATCCTGATCAATATGAAATGCAAGAGTGTGAAATGTGTGGCACTGGCTGTAAAAAGTCAGGTTTTATTTCACCTGTTTTTATGCCATTATTGAAGCGGCATGTAAAAAAAAAAAAAAAATCTGGGACTAAAGTGCTAAAAATATGAAAAATTCCTCTCAACATGACAAGAGTCTTCTTCTTTTCCAGGATGTAAATACTGGTATGTAGATGAAGATTCAATTCAATTCAATTTTATTTTAACAATAAACATTGTCACAAAGCGGCTTTACAGAAATCTGGATGTAGATTTCTGTTTCAATTCCTAATGAGCAAGCCAGAGGCAACAGTGGCAAGAAGAAGAGCATCATTTTTACTTTGAGTGGAAAAAGATTCTAAAAGGAAACTCACCATTTTTCCACAATTGGATTACTATATTCACAGAATAGTAAGTATATTGAAAGGATGTTCAGTATTAGCTTCAATTCTGTATGATTATAACAGCATTTCTTACGTAGGTGAAACTGTCCACTGAAGAAAGGCTGAGACTTGGGCATAAACTGTTTTTGGGAAGTACAGTCTTATCTTATGACTTATAATCACACTATCTGAGTTGCCTTTTGAGTCTCAAGGTTCTTTCCTCATGTCATCTCAAGGAGTTTTTCCTTTTCCACTGTTGCCTCTCACATGCTCGTTAGGGATCTAAATCGAAATAGAAAAAACTGAATTGAAATGAATCTTTAGGGTATTGATGTGTGACCATCCACAGCAGCAGTGAGTAACACACATACAAGCAAGTTGGCTCATTGGTCTAGAGGTATGATTCTCGCTTTGGGTGCGAGAGGTCCCGGGTTCAAATCCCGGACGAGCCCAGGTTTTAGGGCAGTGTTGACTCAATGGTTAAGGCTCTGAGTTACTGATCAGAAGGTTGGGGGTTCAAGCTGCCACTTTGGGCCCTTGAGCATGTTTAGACATGATACAGCGTCTCTGGAGCAGAGAGGGTTAAGGGCCTTGCTCAAGGGCCCAAAGAACCAGTTTGAACCCCCAACCTTCTGATCAGTAACCTAGAGCCTTAACCCAGTTTGTTAGGAAGTAGCGAAGAAAAGAATTTCACTGTGCTGTGACATACTGTATTTGGAACAAATAAAGGCTTCTTCTTAAGTGCAGAGGAAGAATCAGGCAGAAGATGAGAATAGAGGATGATGGAAGCATATGCTAAGTGAGTGCAGGTTCAGAATATTCACATTGTAGAAGTTACTGTAAACTATTTGCCAAGCAATATAAACACCAAAACGGAGACCGATTTCAAGTTATATGATAACCTGTAATATTGACTGCCATATTAAGTGCAACATTTTCCCTTGCCATCAAGAGCTCATGTATTTTGTATTTTGTATAAATACAAAGCATGAAGTAGTTGAAATAAAATTCACTGCCACTTTCAATATCTGTAACAATTACAAAATGCAGATAAGTCTAACACAGTGATCCATGTGTAGATCAAGAATTCTCTCAGCTTCATAAATCAGATTTAAAAAAAAGTCTCTAATAGTATTAGCATTAATGTTAACTTCATGGCTTGCATATAATCCAGAATGGTTATGGTAATTTCCTCAGGCTAATTTATGACCAAGACCAAAGTTGATGTTTTGTTTGTAGGCAAATTTAGTCAATAACTAACAGTATATAAAATGTGGAACATTAATTAATACACATGATAAAGTGAAAAACAATAATACAACAAACTCTTCACTGACAGTTTAGCTTTGCATTTTACAAACTGAACCGTGTGCCTCTTAAAATGACAGTGTACCAACACTTTTATTTTTAGTGCTTAAATATTTTACTTAGTGCTACATCACTTGCTCAAACATATAGCCCTTCATTCAAGAAAGCATAACTGCACCTGTAAATGCAGTGCAAATACACTGTCAGCATTAGTGACTAGTGTATCCTAGAGCCACACAGTGTATTAAGTTGTTTAAAATAACATGGAAATCATGCATACAGTAAATTGTTTAAAATATTTTGAATTGCTGAATGGAACCGCACAGTGTCTGAAATCCAGCTCCAGTGTCTTACTAGGCCTGGGTCAGACCTGTATTCACTTCATGAGTGCTGTACATGAGAATCGTACCTGTTTAGAGACTGTGTAGGAGGTCCATAGAGGCATGGCAAGCGCTTCACTATATCCGCTGATGTAGTCACTGTGGTGCAAGATGCTGTACTTGGTGTGGAACATGACTGCTGGCCGCCCATAAGGAAGATTCTTGCTGTCTGTAAAATGACAAAGAGAAATATCTATGGAAAAGCTATCATTACTAGCTTTAAAAAAATTAATGCTAATTTGATTTGAATACAAATTGAATCTACCAAATTCATTTTCACTGGTAAATATGTATATTAAAATACACAAAAGTACTGAAAAACTATATTCTCGCAATATGAAACATTGAACAATATCTAGGTCGTTGTTCTAGCTTTAGTCCTACAGTAAACAATATGAGTGTTATCTGGATTGACACACAGACAGGGGGCATTACCATCGAAAACTTGTCTCAGTCGTTGATTGAGTTCCTCCACTTTGTTCTGTAAGAGACAGAGCCACAGTGACTCCAGGTTATAGGCTCTTACCAGGGCCACTTTCAAAGCCCTCTGCCCCCTACTTTTTGAACGCAACTGCAAAAGATTAGAGGTGAAAATCTCTAGCAAGACGGTCTAAACAAGAGCACTGTTTGGAGGAAGAACACATTATTCTGTTTGTTTCTTTTAACCCCTGTGTTCTATTCACCGCTTAGCAATGCTGCCTTTGCTCCAGGGCCTCTTCAAAATTTTTACAATCAACTGCAAAATTGATTTTAAAATTCCCAATCTAGCTTCTCCATCTCTGATATGACCAATATAAATAATCCTAATAATACTGCAACAGTGGCCCAAGCACCTAGCTATTCTTAACTTAAACCTGCCTGATCATCTCTGTAATACAAATAAGTTTATGTTCATTAAAGTGAGAACACACTTTCTGAAATAGTAGATTTTACTACTGTTGCACTTGCAGGAAAAATGTACATTTCTTTTGACTAAAACAGAACACAAGGGTTAATATCTTTTACCTTGCAGTTCTGCAGTGCAACATCTTGTAGAAATAATGGAAAAGGTCAATAAAGTAAAATAAAGCACAGAAAATATACACAATTGTTCACAGTTGCCTTCCATGTCACTAAGAAAGACAATAATCCAAAACTAAGAGTAATTACTTGGAAGAAGATACTTTTTCATAACAGGTTGTAATTAGGCAACTTGAAAATGTGGTTTAAGGTTCATATTGTAATTGTGAATACTTTAATGCTGGACTCAGATGGAACCTCACAGTTCTAGTCAGTGGGTAGTCTATGGTGAGGCCCTGAATATGCTTTGTTACTGACTTTTTCATCACAGGTGCAGCCCAGATCATCAGTTATGGCATTGACTGGCCCAGATGGGGTTGGTTTGGACACCTCTTCAGGCATGCTAGGTTTGTGGACAGGATTTCTCAGCAGGTGGTTCAGGCTACCATGGGTCCCATTGTTGGGGACTGGCTTCAACCCAAGGAGATCTAAAAACGATAGGTGTGAGAGTTTGGCGATTGTAATTCACAAAACATGTAGCTATTGTTTCTACATAACACTATGGTCTGCTAGTGTAGCTATGGGATCTGAGATCTGTCATCTATAAGTAATCATCTATCATTCAGGTATGTAACCATGTTAACAGAAAACAGTCTGTATTAGCTTCAAGTAACCTACAATTTGCAAAATTAGAATTTTGGTTTTAATCTGCTGATGCGTAAAATTAGTGAAGACAACACAAAGATAAAATAATAGTTGTCATACCACACATGACGTTGTACAGCTCAATATTTTCAAATGGTGGTATCTTGGTCTTGAATTTAAACATTGGTCCGTATCCAAGGAAAATGGTCTAAAAAGAGAGAAACAGGTGGGTGAGAAACACATCATAGCTCTGTACTAAATCCAGCATGGGACCATGGGTGCGTACCTGCATGCTGTTGATCTTGTTATCGTATCCGTGGTCACCTGAGAAGCCGCACTTGCCCGGATGCCTTTTCCCTTCAGGGGGCTTTCTGTGGCAGACAAATTTAACTGGTTCATTACACCTTTTGACATTCTACAAGTTTTTGAAATTTTCTGATGTTGTTCCTTCATGGGTCACATTGAGTTACTTAAATATACAAGTTCATATGAACAGACACATAGAATCCTGATGAATCTGAAGCTTCTGTTCAAACGAAACAGAAAGTCTTCTGATCACTGCTGATAATGACTCCCATTAAATGTTACGTGGAATACTCCCATTAAATACTGTGGTCCCCTTAATGCAGTAAGCACATAGTGTAAATCAGACCACAGCTGGATGCTTTAACACATACCAGCATTCTGCTTTCACCTTATTTCATTCAAGCAGGTGATTTAAACCCCTCCTTCATGCTGCAGCCTCCAACAGCGGAGAAACTGTCCTGGGAAGAAACCGTTGCTTCACAGCTCTGGTGCCACCGATTAGACAGGTCTGTATCTCAACAGGTCGGTGTGAAAGAACCTTTTCAGTTGGGCGCTGATGCATGCCAAGGCAAACAGCATAGGGAGACCCCGCCATAAGTCTTCATCTCCATCTTCTTTATGGAATGTTTTCTAGTGCTGGGAATGATCTCATGGGTTTGCTTTAGGAATGGTGGCTTTCCAGTGCGGGCTGCCAATGAATGTTTATGGGTTTTGAAGGTTGAAGGTTGAACAGCAGAACTAAAAGCTAATGAGAAAAATTTCCAGAGCACCGGTTTGGATAGTTCACATAGTTTAAGGGACATGTTCATCAGAGTTCCTAGAATTCTTAAATTTGCTAGCTAACCGAGCAAACTGGAGCTTAGACATGGATGGGTGTACTATCAGTGATGCACGGAAACAAAAGCCAAAATTTAGCAAACTCCGAAAATTGGAACAGAGAAACCAAAAACCAAGTACAAACCAATTACTTTTTTTTTTTTAATTATTAATTTGCTTTCTGTAGTGTTGAATAAATTGAAATAATTTATTCAGCTTTTTACACTTTCAAAAAAATTAATAATTAAAATGAACAATGCTTAATATATACTACAGAGTAATAAAAACACTTTTTACAGACATTATTTCATTTAAAAAAAGAGAATAAATTCAACAATTAACAAAATCTAAAACGCTTATGTATGGTTTTCATATTGACCAAGATGACAACTGGTAGTGAAAAAGTCAACAGTGCCACACGGTAACTTTCTGTTGAAATTTCTCCAGATTTCTCACAGGGCTCCTTATATTTTCAAACATTTTCTTGACAGAAAATGTATGAGTCACATAGCGTGAAATAGCCAATGATGTAGTTGGATGATAATAAATGCAATCACCAACAGTGGTAGCCTATATGCAATGAAATTGTGACAAAAATTCTGTAAGCAAACTAACGCTCAGCTTTTGGTGCTCAAAGAATTGTCAATTACAATGGCTTTCACATATTAATATTTACAATTATTTTGTCATAAGAATAATCTGGTTTTTTTTTTAATTTGATGGTAAAACATTATTAACTCTTGCCAGGCATTGGAGTCCTAATTTAGCATCACATTTTACCTGTCACATCCAGTTATTAACAGAATTATTAACAGATTTGTATTAGCCCAGCATAACTATGCATCTATATCATATTCGTGTTACAGTTATGCTTATCAACACATCTTGATTCACTATTATAGGCGTGTTTATTTACCTTGCTACATGCCATTTTCTTTCCACGATCAGGTGAATCTCCTCAATGCGGCGATTGTTGGCATAGTGGAGGCGTTTGGGAA